CTTAACAGTAAATGTTTTTTTTTCCTTCTTAAATAATCTTATTGCAGCCACCATTCTTTGAGAATTGATTTGACTATAAGTAATTTAGTGTTATGAGTTAGTTTTCCTTTTTACAGCAAACTGCAATTATATTTTTGTGAGAAAAAAAAAGAACGGTATTGTTCTTTTCCGGTGTCATTGAGGCTATAAATACTATAAAACAAGTGTGGTATGGAGCATGGCATGCGTTTTGTACCTTCTCATTTTGATGTTATAATTTTCACATTTCTTCGTTTATTGTAAGTCTATGAAGTTTTTGCATAACGTATGGTCCAGAAAACCAGTAAGCTGACTTTGTTCTATCTGTCGTTTCCCCTTTCTGTCCATGCTGTTATGCATTGCTGTAATACTACATTTTGTGCAATAACGTATACGACATGTAGGCAATATTTCGAGATTACAGCTTTCCATATTTTAAATTAAAATGACCAGTCATGTGGTAGCGCTAGTCACTATGGGTATTTACAACCTTTCTTATTAAGTAATAAACTTTGCGTTTAAACAATTTACACGGGATCTCAAGCGAGTTGATTGACATAAAAAAAAAGTTTACATGATCCACTAGTCCAGTATCAAACGCAAGTACGCACACTGTTTTTTGTCTTTGTTGATAAATAAATGTTATTTTAGTTTGGTATTACGCATCGCGTTGTCAAGTCTCTGTATTTCTTACCTTAAACTCAGTGAGTTTAGTTAAATTGAGCATTATTTCGTGATTAATCCTACCGATCTTCCCTTTGTAAAGTGGATCTACTTAGTACTATTTGAGGAAATCATATTACCCTGAGAAATAACCGTTTAATAGTAATAATCCTTGCAGACAGAAGGTTGAAGTGTACTGCTCTAATAAAAATAAATACTTTACATATATATTTAATTTAATAATTGTAAATATGGATTTTCATCATTCAACATATCGACTTCGTTTCTGAGATTTTCCAGTAGCTTTGATGATAAAACATTGACGTAGGAAGCAAGTTTTAAATGGGCAGGCCATTGCTACAGCTAAACAATGTGTGCAAAACATGCCATTTCTAGGGGTGTGGGGGGCATGTCCCCTAGAAATTTTTAAAAAATATAATGCTATGAGATTGGATCTTCAGCCATTTTAACTATAAATACTGCATACACACAACGTAATGTATTGAATTAAGGAAACAACTTGTGTATACGGGCATCGTAGTACTTTTCTAGACAGAGATCCTTCGTATTGTGTACTATTGCCTTGGACATATGGACGACTTTTCCCACTGACCTTCTTTGTGGTCGTGGACTGTCGTCTGCTACAAATCGCCACATTATTTATTATGGCTGAGGTACAACTTGTTGTAGGCCTCTTTCTGGATAGTTCTAGTGCTTCTAGTTGTTCCATGTTACTTTGTTTTCTCATGACGTTGGGTATCTCCATCGAGAAATTCTTAATCCTCTATCTGAACACATCTTCGTGATTGGATTCGATGAATATTTTACCTCGGATTGGGCCATTACATACAATTTCCAAAGTAATCAATTTTAGTGCATAATGCTATCGATTATACTAAATAATGTGAAAATGTAGTTTTGATACATCATTCCACGTGAGCTAATATGAACAGTGGTTGTCAC